ACACACACACACACACACACACGCACACACACACACACACACACGCACACACACACACACACTACAACCCCACCCGTTCATACTGGCAAACCAACAACAAACACACTAGCAAACAAACAACAAACAGGAAGCGGAACAAAAGGCGAATGTTTGGCTGTCTCGGCGATGCTGCAAGTAGGCGGGTACTTCAGCCACCAGGGTAGAGAGGGGTCCACATGAAACAAACATAAAGAAAAATGTCAACCTAACCTTAGCATCATTACTTATTTTACTTCGGTCGCTTTTAAGCACAAGGGGGCTCTCCAGCAAAAATGCCGTTTTGAGAAAATCGAAGGTTAAGTTTTTGCCCCTTGTTCAGTTTCTTTAAAAGACAAGGAGGGGTTGTTTTTTTTCTATAACCAAACAAATACACACACCAATGAAACCAAACTTTTCCTATAGGTAGGGCAATGCCCACTTTTGGTGTTGGTGAACATTTCTGGAAACCCCCGAAATATGGGTTAGCCCACTTGTCCTTAAAACCGACCATCATGTATGCTGTCGAAACTGTCTAGGCCGCCATTTATTGTTGAGGAGAAAAGTGTCCGTATTAGACAGGTGACCGTCTTATGCAATATCACCATAATGGGTTTAGTTTAGTTTTAGTAGAAGGTTTACGGCGCTCGCAACTGCATAAGGTCATATGAGCGCCAGAAGATTAGTAGAGCTGTTACAAGAGAGTAACAAACATAAAAAAGAAGAAGGGGAGATAAGGACGATAGATGTTTGACAGGAAAGAAGAAGCAAACCACATACCAGAGCACCCACCAACTACCCACCCATAATGTGTAAAAAAAAAATTTTTTAAATAATAATAAAAAGCAAGGGAGGAAATGGGAAGTGGCCGTGGTTATGCATTATTACATCCAACGACACTTCTTAGAATTATTTTATTATTTTAAGTACAGAACTATTTATTAGCATCGCCAACGCTGTTTCAGATGTTATGTTTACGATCAAAATTATTGGCCGATCATTTAAAAATACTGTGTGGCACGCACATAGCGAACCCGCACATAGCAAACAGATTTTCAGGTCCAGATTGTTTGCTCTACATATGTATATATATATTTTTTTAATATATTTATACATTTGTATTGACAATATTGGCAGTGTACATTACATTTTAATAATGTTTGTATTTAAAACACATACACAGCGAAATTCACACGTAAAGGCAAAGATCTTCTCGCCCCGTCGATTTTGTTACGGTATGTGCACGTTAGACTGTATTCTGGATTCAGGACAGGAATTCTTGAAGGAGAAATCTAAGCCCAATCCAGAAATCTGAATTTCATTGGGGAAATGAACCACAACCAGAAAGCTACCGATACGATAACCGTTCCTGGGGCGGGCGGGCAGGGGTGTGGTGTGGGGATATTGGTTCAGATCACCATTTTAAAAAAATCATAGACCACCGTCAAGTTTATGTTTTGCGAGATTCCACACCCGGGGTGCTGGGCTGACATCTCCTTGAATCACAGATTTAAACTGCAACACAATAAGGTCATATAAGTGCCGAAGATTAGATGTGTTACAAGGGAATATCCTAGTTCGGCCACTGTCATGGCCGCCCACTTTTACTCTCTAAGAAATAAAAATTCCGCTGTGACATGGGTTCCCAAATGAAGGGAAAAAATAAGAGGTTCGCCACAGTCGATTGGGCTGTCAACCTTCCCCTCCATGCCTTTCATTTGGTTCCAAAGAAAATAACAAAGAGTCAAATTTTGACAGTGATCTCCAAAGAATCAGGTCACAGTGCTCAGCCTTAGATTTAGTCACTTTTAAGGACAAGCGGGCTAACCCAGATTTCGGGGGTTTCCAGAAATCTTGACCTACTCCAAGAGTGGGCATTGCCCTACCTATAGGAGAAGTTTGGCTACATTGATGTGTATACATGTATTTGTTTGGTTATCGAGAAAACTCCTTGTCTTTTAAAGAAACTGAAAAAGGGTCCAAAAATTTTACCTTCGATTTTCTCAAAACAGCATTTTTGGGGATAGTCCCGTTGTGCTTAAACGTGATCATATCATTATCATTATTATTATTATTATTATTATTATTATTATTATTATTATTATTATAGTTATGATACAAGTCTATGCTTTGAATAGCCACGTGACCATGTCTTTGCGCAGAACGTCCCAAGACAGGGGAAGTAATTCTTGTTAATATCAACTCACACTCACACGATCTTTTCTTTAGCCCCAATGAAACAAGTTGGCGATATCCAGACACAAAGCACTAGCAGGGAAACCAAGTTTATATAAATGAAAAAACAAAAACAAAACAAAAAAACCACACACACACATGGAAACATCCACCATGAACACATTGTATCCACACACCCAAACCCGACACCGACTACTGATCCACGAGGGAAGTACTAAGCAGTGGAGGATAAAGAGTGGACAATCAATAGGAAGCCAAAATAGATCAGAATTAAAAATTTAGCAAGACAGATCAACGTGAAATTTTGTGTAGTCTAAGTCAATTACATTTCACCAAAACATCATCATTTCATTATATCCCTGTTTTCTTTTATGGATTTGGTGGTTGCTTTTATATGAAGTTACAGACCAGAACATCTGAAATTAATAAAAAATGAAATCGTTCATTAATCATTAAATATTTCGAAAGGTGGGAACCAGTATCTGTGGTGTGCCGTCGCACGCAGGAGAATTGAGTTCGAATCCCGAGTTGGGGAGATTTTTATTGAGTATCTCGTTCTTTCTGCTGGGATGTTGCATAATGTAAAATATTTCCATGACTTTGTAAAGATGTGTTTTGTAGTTGTGTGCATTCTGTATAAATTTCCCAACAAATTGATGTAAAACACATTTTAAAATGTGCATTTTTTGTTGAGTAATGGTCAGTTGTGTTGTAAAGTTGCATTTTGCTGTCACAAAAAACTCAGTGTTAGAAATGGCCTCAAATTGGCCGGATTTTAGATATGAAAAATCGCTATAACGTTTTTACTATTAAAAAAAAATTTTTTAAGATATCAGCACAATTTTTACTGTTTTATGATCATGCAGGCAAGGGCTCAAATGAAAGTATTTCAAAGCATATCAGACAACTCTGAAATTTTCACTAAACTGACTAATAGTATTATTCTGGCCCCGTCGTTTTAGGCAAGAAAAATTCTGAAATTATGCAAACTGAGCCCAAAAATGTGAAATTATGCGATTGTGTTAATTTTAGCAAAGAATGATAAAGGAAAATAATCAGAAATTATGCAAAAAATGATCAAATTTTGCTAAATTATGCGGGGTGCATAAAACCACGGGGACAGAATTATTCTCCATCTCAACCGACAGGGTCGACGCCTATCTCCTAAATGATCTAAACTGTGTCATGGGGTGGGGGGGGGGGGTGTGACGTAAAGACGCCTACATTAAAATAGTATACTTGCGAAGAAAAGCTGACATGCTGAAGATGTAAAGGATGTCTGACCATTATAATATTGTGCAGGTGTCGGATTTTTGTTTCTGACAATGTCTCACTAAGGTTCCACATACCCATCAAAGTATGAGTAAATTAGTAAAGTTGACTAAACGAACCCTGAAAAAAGCTCCAGTTTCCATTCCACATAATTGGTCGCTTTTAAGCACAAGGGGGCTATCCCGAGAAAGGCTGTTTTGAACAAATCGAAGTTTTTGCCCCTTTTGTTCCGTTTCTTTGAAAGTGAAGGAGACTTTTCTCTATCTATCATCACCCAGTGCCAGATCTGCGACAGACATCAGCGATCATGGTTCTCCATTCATTCCTTTGCTCGGATGCTCTAAAAAAAAGCCACGTTTCCCTGATCTTTCCCTGTTACCCATGAGTTCAGGTTCCCCAAGTATGTTGTTCTGGGCCTTCCCCTGCCTCGCTTGCCCTCAATTTTCTCTATAACCAAACAAATATACACACCAATGAAACCAAACTTCTCCTATAGGTAAGGCAATGGCCACTTTTGGTGTAGGTCAAGATTTCTGGAAATCCCGAAATCTGGGTTGGCCCGCCTGTCCTTAAAAGCGACCAATTATATTGTTTTATCTGTTACTGTGTTGGTTAGTAACAGGCCTATCGCTGCCAAGGGCCAGTGTCAAATCCCTATGTCTGATTTATCTAAAATCCAGACACCCATGCCTGGATCTAAAGGACATAATTGGTCGCTTTTAAGGACAAGCGGGCTAATTAACCCAGATTTCGGGGGTTTCCAGAAACTTGACCTACACCAAAATTGGGCATTGTCCTGCCTATAGGAGTAGTTTGGTTTCATAGGCGTGTATATTTGTTTGGTTATAGAGAAAACTCTTCTAGTCTTTTAAAGAAACTGAACAAGTGGCAAAAACTTTACCTTCGATTTTCTCTAAACAGCATTTTTCGGGATAGCCCTCTTGTGCTTAAAAGCGACCAATTGAAACCTCTCCGCAAGTGACCATTGCCGTGTACATATATATATATATATTATATATATATATGCAAAAAGATGAAGGAATAATAATTAAAAGGAAATAAGGGAAATGACCAAGCTACACCAAAAGGGAAAAAAACCAACAGCCCCAGCCAGAAAAAGGAAAGGATAATTGTTAAAAAACAGATAAAAACACAGAAAGCGATACTCACAGGCGTTATCACACACCCCCATCCTGTGGAAGGCCAAAGGCAAAGGAACATTTAGAGGCCAAGAGACTGTGTTTTTTAGTAAGAGTTTTACGGTACTTGCAACACAAATAAGTCACATAAGTGTCGAAGATTAGAGTTGTTACTAGAGAGTAGTAACATAAAGAAAAGAAGAGAGAGAGAAAATGTAGATGGAAATATATGATAGGAAAGAAGGAGCAAACTACAACACAGCACCCGCCAACCACATATACAAAGAGACTGAAACTGGAGTACATGTATTGCAATCAACAGAAGAGACAGACTGAGGATATTGTCGACACACCACCCTAGATAGACAGAAAGACAGAAACGACAGAAGGAAAGAAAAAGTAAGACCTACCAGTGGCACCCTCCAACCACCCGCTTCTTTAACACCAAACCGTTTCTAACTCAACAAATAGCACATGAAGAGCAGATTTCAGATTAGTTTTCAAACATTTATTTTTCAAAACACATCGCAGAAAATGAAAAAAAAACAAAATGAATTAACATAAACAGATAATACATGATTTAATTTTGTTCCTAACTGCATAGCCACACACAGACAGACATTTGTTTTCTACTGTATAGCCACACACAGACAAACATGACTTAATTTTGTTCCTCACTGTATAGTCTAGCCACACACAGACATTTGTTCTTTACTGTATAGCAACATACAGACCTTTGTTCCTTCTGTATAGCCACACACAGACAGACATGACTTAATTTTGTTCCTTACTGTATATTATAGCCACACACAGACAAATTGAAACTGAAATTACACATGCATTGGTTTAACACCATGTGCAACACTGACTGTCAGGTTCATTAAAAGGGCGGGACTTTCAAATTTAACGTCCATCTCCAGAAGGACAAAAACAGCCGAGTGGGAAAATTTGTAAAAAAAAGTACCATTCCCAAGGACACAACATTGGACCAAGACGAGGCTCGAACTCCAAACCTGCAATCTCATGATAACGGGACCGATGGCCTAAACACAAGATTCTTGATGCCACACACACACAGAGAAATGGATAAGTTTTTGTTCATAATGTAGGCGTTTTTACACCCCTATCAGCACAATTTGTCACTTCAGGACAACCCATCTTTCTCTCTAGCGGCCAGCCCCATGATCAACAAGTGAGGTGTTTTCCCCGACACACAATGAGCTTAATAAAAACCTGTCATAACAAGAATCCTGATGACACATTGTATAGACCTCTATGTTTTTCGTTGCTGTCAAGTGAAATGTTTCTAATGAGCCGATCAGCATGAACAATACAAATACATGTAAAGCAATACATGTAACCAGCGGGTATAAAACTTCATTCATACCATCATCAATACCATCATCCTACCATCATCTTACCATTATCAATACCATCATCAATATCATCATCTTATCATCATCTTACCATCATCAATACCATCACCCTACCATCATCTTACCATTATCAATACCATCATCAATATCATCATCCTACCATCATCAATACCATCATCTTACCATCATCCTACCATCATCCTATCATCATCTTACCATCACCCTACCATCATCCTTCCATCATCAATACAAGCTATCCAGTCATTGTCGTCTGCGTGGGAAAAACATGATTGTACAGGTGTGTATGTCCATCCAAGTGACTATTTGTGTGAATGTGTCCGAGTATGTGTGTGTGTGTGTGTGTGTGTGTGTGTGTGTGTGTGTGT